GATGATTAAAAAGGAACAAATAAAAATGTTGTCTAGAAAATTATTTTAAACAATTTCATTCTTGATATTCGAGGATTTTAAAATTTGTCTAGGTAATTACATTTAAAATTAAAATAAAATAAATTTCAATCATATAATAGCCCATTTGTTTAATAAAATATACATTATTTATGAACGTACCATGTCAGCAGCTTTGTCAAATAGGTAATGCTGCTGACGCATGACGTCCTATATTCGTATTTACGAAAGACGTTATAAAGACAAACAAACCCTCTCCAATGATGTTGAAATAAACGTTATTATATAAAACAGAGACAGTTTTAGTAAACAAAAAGTATAACATTCCTGGGGTTGGAAAATGAAGTTTCAATAGCAGCGAAGATGCTAATTGAAATGGCATCACCAACGCCGGATCAAGGGGAGATCTAAAGGGAGCTACGGCCCCGAGCCACGCTTCCTAGAGGGCTTCTTTCTAACTCTTCCATTAACTATATCAACGAATATTAAATACAATTTCTTTTACTGTTGCCTTTCTCGTTTGCAATTAAATGATATTTAATTTTATTTAGAAAAAATTTCGATTTCTGAATCAAGTTTATCAACCAAGGAGGCCCTCAAAGGTTTGATATCCCGCCCCGGCACCCCAGAAATCCTAATCCAATCCGGGATATTACTATTGATATCATTGGATTAAGTATACTAGAGTAACACAATTGTGACACTACAATATCAACAGGATACGTCTAACAAGAGTTACCCCAGGGATCATTCTGATAATTAATTAGGCTTCAAAAAATCAATTTTCCTTGCATTTTTTAAAAATGTACCTTTAAGAATATATTGTTAAAATATAATCGTTAACAATTGAAATATTAGGTCGGCTAAAAGGTATTATAACTGTTTCATAAAAAATTAAAAGTAGAAATCATGTCATTTTGGCCACAAAATGTCCCTAGAGGTATTTGTCAAAAATAAACTAATTTTTTGAGAATGTCATAATACAATGGCTTAAAATTTATCAGGAAATAGTAGAAGAAACGATAAATATATTTTACAATAAACTTTTAGTTATTTATAAAAGATTTGTATCTGAATTTTCTAAACTTTATACTACCACCTTATAAAACACGTTTGCCCCTTTAGAAATTTTTTTTAAATAAAAACTGATGAACCTTTTGCTATAGGTACAGTACTTCTATGTTAAAGTAATAAAAGTTATAGGAAATATTAGTCGAAATTTGCGCAATTTTTCTTTTAGAAGTATTTTGCAGTGATCACTGTTGTTTACAGTTGAAATATTAAAAATAAAAAATTCAAAAATTGATATTAATACTATATACATATTATGTTATATAGTTTTTATAAGTCCAGAGTTTTGAAAAATTAATTTGTAACAAAATGGTGGTAGCTGAAAGTTAATATGTGAAAACTACACTGTATAACTATATTAACAGCAGCAAAATCCTGAATATTCATAAATCTATTAAAATGATGATAGGAACCCTTCAAAAATTTTCGTTTTGACAATGAGTTTTGAAATCTCAAAACTTCATTTAGCTTGGGTTAGATCTCATCTTGAAAGTATAAAATTAATCTTATTACTCTAACTGCAACTGTGCTCTTCATTTTCCAACGTGACAAATGTCACGGTTGCATTTTGCAATCATGCAGAAAAATAAAATTGTTTTATTTTTATGAGCAAAGAATGAGCATGGTATGATTTATGCCGTCAGCCACGTGTTTACACGTTCATTTAATGACTCCAACATCTATTGTACGCATTGTAGAATATTTCCTCGTGCAATAAATGTCAAATATCTTTTATATCATTTCATCCACGGCAAGCCACGGATCTAGTTGCGTCTCGAGGACGTCGTTCGTTGTGTAAGTCGACAGTACAAAATGATCCAACTGTTATCTAATCTCGAAGAGCCGCTCCGTATTTTTTTCTCGTCGCCTGATGTTGATAGTTAAGAAATGTTTATTCGCAAACATACCTCACGTTATATAGGTATGTGCATCCGGTTTTAAGGTAAATTCTTTGTGGCAGGGTACACAAAATTCATATATAGTTTTTCCTTTTCCAAGAACGGTGTCACATGAAATTTGTGTCGCTTTCTCCTCAGTTTCTATGCACATTCGTCAATCTTATTACGAAGAGAAGTTTTCATTTGAAAATAGATCATTTTTAGAATTTTATGTATTTAAGAAAATAAAATATAAGTTATGTAACCATAAAGTTCAATCATTTTTTATGTTGTATTCGGACATTATTGAAAATAACAAATTCCTTTTGTATTCTGATTTTGAATTTGAAGTTTGAATTTCTGATGATAATAAAAAGTTCCTTGTTTGCCGAAGTGAAGGAATCAAGAAAATTATTTAAAATAAGATTGTTGCTGAAATTGTTTTTAATTATAACTTTCCGACTAATCATATATTTTCCTGCGTAAAATTATTAATTTTTTTCGAAATTTTTATGAATATTTTGCCGTGACCGTAAATATTTTCGTCAGCAATTTTATAAACTTGAGGAACTCTCTTGGCTTTTAATTTTAGATAATTATATGAATATCAGCATCAAATGAAATATACAAAAAAGTTTTTATTATCTTCAATGACATAGAAATACAATATAAACAATCTTTTTAAATAAGATTCTATAAATAACTTACTTTTAGCATTAACCAATAAAATATTGTTTCTAACTAAACAAAATACATCTTTTCACTATGTTATTATTTCCAAATCAAACAATTTGTATTGCTAAAAATTCATTAATTTTTGATAACTGAAACTGTTAATTCATATTTCGCGGCTTATGGAACTTACTGAATCGATGCTACTGCTATCTGTTGGTCGAGTGTCAACTGTATATGTATATCAATATGGATCCTTTGATTCTTGAGGATGTCTAAATTACGTGTGTTTTATTACTGTTTATTTTTCTGTTTTTTTGACAAATTAATTTGTTTATTGTCGTGATATTGTGACCCTGTGATAACACGTGATATATAAATTCGTAAAGTGTATTGGCCGGTGTGAAGAAATTGTTTCGGCTTTATAAATGAAAAATTCAGGTATTTATGTAATTCAGACTTAGAATTTTTATTTAAAATTTACTTTGATACCTTTATCATAATATTTTATTTTATATTAATACAAATTTCTAGTGCACGTAACAGAAACGTGTTAAAATTACTTGTATTTGTGGTTAGACTGTTAAGTAAATAAATAAACATTAATTAGGCCTATCTGAGATTATGGTTTGGTGATCAAAATTTAACAGTTTATTACATTATTTATAATCATTAATTATTTAGATTCTTGTTTCGTATTTTACGGGTTGCTGGATCTGGTGGTTATGTATATATCGAATACACTTATCAATCGATACTAAATCTTTCGATTCCCGAAAACGTCGGTGCGTTGCTAAAATGAATTACTTTATTTAATGTTAGAAAAGTGAAGTTAAAAAAGAAACGGAGTATTAGTGAAGAAACTACGATTCAATAGACATTTTATTTCAAATCAAATTTCTGCCTTAAATTCCAAACTATCTCTTTTATATCTTATACTGTACTATGTACTTTCTGCACTGGCAATTTTACCTGCTGGGTACAGAAATTATTTTTCATACTTTATTAAAAAAAGAAAGTGTTTAGTTTCTTAATAGGGGTTAATTGACCCCTCTATCCCCCCTCCCCCATTCGCGAAATGTGCTACTGCTTCCTAACCCGGTTAACCCTGATTAGTGTACGGAAAACAATTGTAATTCATATTCTTGATATGTTACGAACAATAGAATAAATTAATAATGATAAGCTGAAATTTTGCTAATTTTTACAGTTCGTGTTCATTTTCAACGAAAATTTATTATTTTGTGTTGCTTGATATAAAATGATTTTCTTAATAAGAATAAAGTTATTGTAAAATTTTAACCTTTAACGATGTTTCAACTAAAAAATATATTAATTTAAAAGATTCTCAAGATAATAAATAAATGTTCATATTCCTTGAAACATTTTGAAACAACTTTCTTTCTTTTTAACCGAGTTCGAAAAAGGAGGAGGTTACTCAATTCGATCAGACATTTTCTTTTTTTTTCTATTAATTATACGTACTGATAATCAAGAACTCTTACTCCTTATAATGTTATTTTTTCAAAATAATATGTTAGACAGGTCCTGAATTATACTCCGATTCTGAAGAATATGAAAAATAAGTGTATGTTTTATATTCTTATCTACAATAGTTATAAAACTTAAATTCCATTAATAAAATCAATGTAAATATAATGTAAGAAAATATTACAAACTACCAATTTTGAAAAATGAACATCGTCTCTATAAAATAATCGCCAAAATTTTTGTTAACTTTGTTTGAAATAATTCACGTTACAAACTTACTAATTTAAAGGTGGCATTAAGGAAATATCTTACAGAGGTAATCCAGACAGTAATTGTACTAAATAAATTCACAGAACTGAATCTTTTCATGGTTTGATCTTTTTTCTTTTCCACGATTTTGGAAAGATGCATCAGTGTACAAGTCTACTTTTCAGCACAATGTTTAAATAATATTCATACAAAACAAGTATTTTTCACATCATATTGTTACTTACTCTACACCACTGGCTTCTGATTTTAATCCTTGTTTTTAACTTGTTCTCAGAACGTTTACAATTGTTATTGATTATAAATAAATCTCAAAAATAATTTCAAGCTATTATTTAGAGCTTGAGAATCCCACGTATGCATTCAGTAAAACCCAAAGTTTCCAAGTTATTCGATAAAACAACTTTTTCAGCACTCCACACCCTTCAACATGGACGGTTGCTAATAGAAAAAAAAAAAAAACAAGTTGAATATTTTGTCGAGTTCTGTATCATACCAATATTTTATAAAAATATAATGATGTTCTTCGGTAGATACATTGATGTTTGCATGAAACACAAACGACTGCAAGTGAAGAGAACTAAGACCGAACCTTGGTTGCAGATGACACTTGGCATGCGGTCGTCGTAGGGTCGACGCATCACCACGTCCACCCTCGTGCTCGCCAAACAGTCATCATGATCACGAATGGGCAGCTAAAGAACGTCGTCATAGTTCACGGCACGTCGTATAACGTGTAAAATTCTGCTAGTCCCGCACTAAGTATCAGCTTTCGGAGGATTTGATACTCGGTGGACAGTGAAAAAGAATCGAAGGCATGAAGAGGAAATCGAAAGGCGTGTCGGGTGTTTGGTGAAAAAGTATCGAAGAAAGCCGAGCGTTAAGCGAGCTTAAACGCGAACAACCGTAGAGTTAGCTGTTGTGAGGTGAAAACGTGTCTGGTTCGTTCGTGAGGGATGCGGCCCATGGGCGAAGGGTGGGGTCTTTGGGCACCGATAAGGCTTATCCGAAGATACCATGGCCGCCTGGCTGCTCGGCTCTCCTCGTCAGTCATAGTGCTCAGGTGGCGTCGACGAGATCGTCGTTCGGTTTAGCTTTACGCGAGTTCGCGCCTATTACACGAATTCCACGACCGTGTCCCGTTTCATGAACGAGGATTAAAAGCCAGCCACGTAAGCACGAGAGGATCTCGAAGAAGTGGCGGTGGAAGGGTGGAGGAGCTGCAGCTGAAAAACAGGTTGGAAAAAGGATCTTGCTAGCGAACAATGTCGTTCTCTCGCGTTGACTGCTCCTCTCTTGTTCCTCTCTAATCGTTCTGCTTTCAAAGCGTCTGGAGATTTTAATTTGACGTTTTAACGCGCGAAGTGGTCAGTGGCGAAATGAAGGAGCCTCGAGGAGGAAAGAGAGCGGCTAAAGAGGATGAGTTGGCCATGGCACGGTCGAGCCTACGAGACGGGAGCGGAAAGGAGAAGGACGGCAGGAAGAAAGCGAGCAAGCGGTGCTAAGGACAAAAGCGTTAGAGGGTTACCCGACGGAGTGAGAGAGTTAAGCTCTTTCCTGCGCGCTTTTCTCAGCCCGCGGCTATCGCTTTTTTTCTTCGTACCTGCTCTCTTTCTCCCACTGAACTGAGGCTCCTCAAGCTTCCTAGCATGGGTGCTAAATTATTCGTGACCCCTTTGACACTTGGCAGTGGTGGCAAGTTCCGGTAATTGTGCCTCTATCTTTACTCTCTATCCTCTAGTTTGACTTTCTTCGTCTTTACTTCTGCATTCTCTTGATCGTCGTTCCTTGATCTTTTCTCTGATTACGTGGTTGCGTTTCTTTGAGTTCAAACTGAAATCCCTAGACTAGTAGGCGTCGTTGATTTTCGATCGAATAATGTCTTTAACCCTTTTTCCTTGGAATAATGGACAGTGCAGTGATTCCATATAACTTTAAATTAAGTACATATGCTTTAATGCGTGTTGCAATTGTTGCATAGCAAATTAGTTGTGCACTTGAAAATTTAATAAAACTAATAATGCTGCATACTGACGAATTTTTCCAAAATCGTGGACAAGAGTCAAAAACAAGATTTAATTATTTGAATAAGTTTAGTATAATTAGTTTATGAATTATTCGTGCATAATTTTTTATATTATTAGTGTTTAGATTACAATCCTTTTGCAGCTGATAATTTTATAAAGTAAAATCTTTTGATCAAAATGGATATTTTTGTAATTTTTTTTGTGTGGAAAATTACACCAATCACTTATTACATTGGTTTTATTAATTGAGGTTTAGTTTTAAAGTTGTTGCAATTAAAGATATTGGAAATGTCGAAAAAATGTTTTTACAAAAGTTGTTTAGCATGATGAAAGGCAGAATGTAGTATAAGATGATTTTCACAGATAAAGTAACGGGTGAAATTTGAAAATCATGTTCTTTTTTTAAATCGATTGCTGTATTTTTCAATTTCATAATATGATAACATTTGCTGAGACAAATTCAACGATATGCCATGCAAAGTCGTTTCTTTTTATGGGATATTGTAAAATTGTCAAGAACGGCGGAGTGAGATCAGCGCACGTCGCAGACCTTTACATAAGTGGTATGGAAAAAGGTTGACGTGACAGTGCAGCGCAAACATAATTTTCCACTAGAAGGGCTAAAATAATTTTTGTTCATGTCTTATTAGTATCGTAATAATATTCAGTTTACCTTTCTTTATTTTTATTTATTCTCAACAACGTTTTCTGAAATTTTCGAAAACATCCCTGTATTTATTAAAAAAAAGGTTTCTAATTTTTTAACCCTTTACGGACGAACGATGTATACAATACATATGTGTCCAAACGTAATTGTCATAGTACATATGTTATAATTCTATACATATTACGTTACATTCTTTTTGAATTGAATTGTAATATTCAAAAATAATTCTATTTTCTATAAATTACTTTTTTTAGACCTTAAAGCTTCTAAAATCTAAACATATTACTGATCTTAGATAATTATGTGATCAAACATAGTGTTCTAAGGATTCTTTGGCAAACCTATAGTAATTTAGTAAAAAAATTTTAGTTTTTGATTCGTTATTTTTTAGAACATATAGGTTAATTTTGTAAAGCAATCTTTTTTCCATGGACTATCAACAGTAATCTACTTCTGTTATTGTTTTATTTCATTTTAAATTGAAATATATTACTTCCACTCTAATGGTTAAACCGCAGTTACTTTTACACTATCCTAATAGAATAGTTAATAAAAAATAAATTGGCATATAGCTTTCGAATTTTGCATTTTATGAATAATTATTTTCTAGAAAAATTGCATGGTTGCAAGGAGAACAGCATTACGACGTATTAAATTTATTTGTAGGTGAAAGTAGTTTGTTATTGTAATAATAAATGGAATATTATATTTTTTATGCAAAGATTCAAAAGAATATTAAATTCTAGTAACAGTAAAAATGTATTAACCTTAATTCATCTCAAAGCTAGATAACTTAGTTTGTTGAAAATTTGCTTGAATCTTCTATCCATGAAACTTCTTCTACTGAAATGTTGTCAATTGTCCACAAAGTATTAAGAAACTTTCCGATTTCTTAATGAATGCATTTACAAATTTGCAGAGATTACATTTTATTCGAGAAAATTTTGAATTTTTTTAACTTCGTAGTAAATTTCACTTGACCTTGAAATCGAATAATATCAGTTTGTTTTGAAACGAAAGGCTCATGCAATGGATTCTCTAAAAACTTCTGCTTAATGAAATGTTAAATCAGTTGAACTTCGTGAAAACATTTCACGAATTGTTGATTTTTTAACATTTACACTAATACTTTTTTACGTGGAATATTTCAGAGTGGAAATAAAAAAAAAAAAAAAAAAAAAAAATTATTGTAGTAATTGACAATTCATAGGCATACACAGTTAATTCTTGTAAGAATATAAGTGTGTAGGACGAGAAATACTGATATAACGATGCGTGTTACGAGATGGAGATCAAGACTCGACTGACTTTGCCCTTCATCGTAAGAAAACTTCTTAAATCTATATATGTATTCTGAAAGTACAATAACAGTAAAAAATACGTGCCTCGAGAAACGCTTCTAGTGCTTACATTTCTGACTGGTATTTATCACAGATATACTATTCGTTGTGTCCCTGCTCTCCTTCGATGCTTGTTAAGTTCAATCATGCCCTTCGATTTTCTTGCGTTTTTCGTAAATAACAGTCAACAGAATGCTTTCTCCATTGAAGCGGCAAGCGCGTCTTTCGAGCTCGAAGCGCGATACCGTTCTAAACAAAGGGACACACTCGAGAGATACTCGAAGAGAAGTTCAGATTCTCGACCAAACGACGAAACGTCGCAGTTTCTCATCTCTGTCCCATTTTCTAACGCTTCTGCTTCCGGTAAATACCACCGGCGACTTGACCTCTGGAGAGACACGACAAACGAACGCAAAAGGAGAGAGAGATAGTCTGTATAAGCACGGTCGGAATGGCTGAAGCTGAAACCAGCTGAACCGAAGGCGAACGAAGAAGCAACTCGAGCGGGAAAACGAAAGACACGATGCAGAAGGAGATACTTAAGGAGGAGAGAACGGCGAACGAACAGCACAACGTTAAGGGAGATCGAGCAGAGAGACTCGGTCCTGGCCTAGCGTATACGAGCCGAGTTTCTAATTAAACTTAAACTTTTAATTGACTCGTTGCGAAGCCGTTCCGTGTAAGAGTTTGTGTTCCACGTACGCGTTCAGTTATCTGCGTTCCTCCGATTTCGCTCGTTTCGGCATATTCTGTCTTACGTAGCTCCTGCCTTCCTTACCAGCTGTCTTCTCTTTTTTCTCGAAAGCTCCGTTGTCCATGGATTTTCTTTACGGCCACTTCGCTCGCGAGTTAATTAGGGATAAAAAAAAGGAGCGCAACACTCCTGGAACGGGATTCGCGTAAATATGCGAAGACTAAGCTTCGCAAAAATTACTATCGTGCTCGTTACGATGCAAACCACGTGGCGCAACCTTTTAATTTATTAACCCGCTATCTTTTGTTTTCCACCGGTTTCGGTGAACGCATAAGTTCTACCCTCATTTTGTTTTGATGATTATTATTATTCCGAGTTAATTTAGTGGTCCTCGTTGTTTTATGAAATTTTAACATGAATTTTAATAGGAATATTTTTTAAATTGTTATTTTTTGTAGATTGATTTTTAGTACTCATCCAAGCCCTTTACATTCTTACGGCCGATTCTAAGTAAGATATTAGTTTGATGCATCGATCCGTGTCGCTTTTTTATCAGGTACTTTTTTTGTTACAAAAATTGCATTTAGATTATAGGTATGATCTTTTATTTGATAGGTTTTATCAAAATTGAGAAAAATTAGTTAACAAGATATTCGTATTATAATTTAACTTCGGTAAAAACATATGTTTATAACTATTTCGATCAATTTAAATAACTTATTCTGTTTATATAAATAAAGAGACAGTTTAGACACACGTTTGTACAGTTGGCCCTCCGTATACGCAGTTTCGGTTATCCACAGACATACATAAGTACTTACATATATCAACTCCAAGAAAAAGAGTCCACTGTGCAATATATTTCATTATCACTTTAAAGTTGATAATGTTTTACGTTAAAATGTAATTGATCAATTGAACTTTAAAATGGCTGAATTTATCAACTCACAAGCTTCATGATAAATTACACATATATGACGTTATACAAATTTATTTATTTGTTCATTTTGTAATAAAATACCACGGATACGGGAGATTCGTCGTATTTCAGTTAGTTTTTTTCAAATGTTTAAAAATTATATGATTAAACAGATATAACTGTTCAGCTAATAACCATTCGACTTGAAATTACTACCAGACATGTAAATAGAAGAACTTTCAATTTTGTTTTTCGTCCGATCACCGAAGTCAAGCTAAGTTCGGCGCGGACAATACTTGGATGGGTCACCGCTTGGGAACTCTGCGTGCTGTTAGCTTTTTTTTCGAATTAAAAAATTTAACAACTCCATTCAATAGATTTTTACTGTTGAATTTTTATTATTTTAATGGTACAAATCTTCAAATATATTTTGATTACCGTCTGTATTATAGTCGATTCTTCGTACTGAGGTTTCAGTTATTCACGATTCGAAATTTCAAAATTTTCAGAAATATGATCGATACTCGTAGAAGCGTAAAACAAAAAAACTATGGAGACTCGAAATCTAAAATGAACGTCGGCAATGTGAAAGTAACTTTATTCAAAAATTGCTCGAGAGCACTTTTAATATATAAAATTTTCTCTTAATGTTTAATGGTTTAAGATTAAGAATATCTTATTGTTAGTAATTTATGAATTAAACTTTATCATATTTCTATTTGTTACCAAAATATTACAATATATAAGGTTCATTATTATCCGTGGGTTGTCGTTACTGCGATAAGTCTTGGAATGTAATACCGTGGATAGAAGAGAGGCCAGACTGTACTCATAATAAGAATGACTGATATGGTGTAATATATGATTTAAAACTTACAATATTTTTAATTTGATTAACATTTTCGTAACCCATAATTCTTTTTATAGGTTTATTAAGATTTTCATTTAAAGTAGCTATATACATATTACTACGCTAACTATACATTTTACAAAGATATAGTAGTATTAGATTTGAATAATATAGAAAATTTTACATAACTTTATAACATAAAAGTTCTGCAAAATGGTACCTACTTATGGCATATTAATTTAAAGTTTAACATTCAAAAAAAATTTCTATACGTGTATTAGCACTTTTAACCTGGTGACGATCATGTAAAATTTCGTACCGACGAAAATGTAACATAACCCATCCATTTTTAATCATTTAAATAATATCATAAATGCATATCCTATATTTTATATATTTTCTAAAGTATAACAACATTCGAAGAATTATATTTTAAAATTACTAGGTATACGTAGAAAATATATTTTGCTTAAAAATAAGTAAAATCTGACATGATTTGATGACATAAAAATGCCCAATCCAGAAACGGATTAAAATCTTTAGAGCCCGGGATTTATCAAACCATGGAAAATCTGCAGTTTTTGGGTTACATCTTTTTTTAGAACATTCTGTATATGAAGGAAAATTTTAAAACACTGCGGATAATGCTAATGGACAATATTAAATTGTGAATAGATTTTTAGTTACAAATGCTATTTTGCAATATTTTTATGTTATTGAATTTAGAGGAAATATACCAAATAGCCCCCCCCCAATACACACACACGCACGCACACAGTGACCTTCTCTGTGGCATACATATACATATTATGGAGATCATCTTCCCAAGTAATTCTTCCTTATAACTCAATCCTCGGTTATTGTTTAATACAAAAATATTGACAAAAAAAGGTTTCATTCAAAAAAGTATCTAACCCAATCTAACCCAGAATCGAAATACTTTTATGTTATGTATTTTAATAATGAAGTCAATGTATAGGTGGCATCCCTACCCCAGAAGATACCTTAGCATAACCTGGCTCTAATTCCGTTTTTATTTTCCACAAATACGATTACAAAATACAAATCAGACTGAGTCAGATTGGGTTAGAAGGGGCGAATCCCCTCCCCCGTCAGATAGTCGCCTTGAAAACTAAAATATGTAATTAATATAGCAGCACTTCATGTGAGAAAGATTCCGATTTTTGGAAAAATAGCGGTACATTTTTAAATCTTGATTAAAAATGTTTAATCAATGATTAAAAGCATGATTAAAGTTAACATAAAAATTAAATTTTCTTAAACGCCTCGGATAACGCTATTATGTTTGTTTTTTTTAGCGATTCGAGGATTCGTGACGTCGATTATTGGGATTCTACGATCTCGATTCGGACGTTTCACGTTGCATCGACCCAGTTTCCCTTAAAATCTCTTCTAAAAGGGAACGCTCGTTAGAAACGAATCAGTGTCCGTAGTTGTGCATCCGTATTTCGTGAAGAAGTGTATGCTTTTTTTGTGTCGACTATCGGATAACTCGTGATTATATTCGGTAATTCGTGTAATTTGCCCGGGCAAAGGTGCGTCTTTTACGTTTCGCGTTGTTTACGCCGGTTTATTCGTACGCGAACGGTAGAGTTTGAGGGTTGACACCTTCAAACCGGAAACGAAGAATAATCCTGTCTTCCTCAAGGATAAACGAGGCCGAGGGAAGGGGTCATCGAGAGCCGGTCGCTAGAAGGACTCCTATGAAAATGCTTCAGTCGTTGAACGCTTTGGCGGGTAAAATCTCGCCGGGATCGCCTACCGACAGCAACGCAAACAAAGTGCACATGCACAACAACAACAACAATAACAACAACAACGTCGTGCATCACCATCATCCCTACTCGAAACAACAGACACAGCAGCCGTCGCCGTCGTCGCAGTCGAGCAACAGCGACCAGAAGGAAAACACGTGAGTTCTATAATGTTTTCTCATTGCTTTAAACACATATTTCTTCATGTGTTGTTTGAATAGTGTTTTCAGGAAATATTGTATGGTACGTACGATTTCTCCTTTTTTTTTGCATTACCTGTCATTTAATTTCCTTTTTATTTTTTGTTTATAATAATTCTATTTAAAAGGCACGAGTTGACTTCAGTTTATATTTCTAAATGTTTAATACCAATAGATTTTATTCTCTTCTGGACAAGTTTCGTCGGTTATGTTTGAAGCGAATTCCAACTTTTCCGAACTTCCTCCCGAATGTTTATTTTTCCCAGTTAATTCTTCAAACATTTGGGTCAAGGAACGATTACATATATATCAAAGCAGAGTCCCCAATAAGTATCCTAGAATCTTTTTCAGATTTTTTGAAAGGCAAGACCAGTAAAAAAATTAATCGTAAATATAAACGACACAGGTTGCTCGCGAAGGTTGTAAAAAATATACTTGTCCATAAAAGGTTATTTCAGAATATGTTTTGTTAAACTATAAGTACCAGTTACAGTAAACTTTCGTTATATTGTACGTGAGCGATTTAACATTCACATGGATTTTAACTCATACTAGTGCCACTGTTCTTTCTACCTTTATAGGTTACGAAAATGATACGTTTTCATCTCCTCTCTTCCTCTCAAATGAGAGCTTTGGAAACTTGATAAATTTTCCGCTCCTATAGACCCGTCGCGTTGGTGGCAATATAACGAGAGTCAACAGTAAAATATCATGGTGAGCAATTCATGGGGGTATGGAAAGATTCGATAGGGCATTTAGATAACGAAAATGTTAAAAATGTTCAAGAAAATTAGAATGTTCGTTGTTTAGGTGTTAACGTCATTCTTTCTTTTGAATCAACTTTAAAGCAGGGCTTATTAAAATTACAAAGAACACCAGGAGTCTTAAATGATATGAGCTTTTTAGAATTTGGAACTAAATGAATGGAAGCAGCAAAGTAACAACGATAAAGAGTAACAGAATTTTTACCACACTCTTATATCTTTGCATATTATACAGTATAGTTAGGGTTATCTCAAATTATAAGCTAATTACTTTTTCTATTACACTTAAGTAGAAAACATGTAGTTTCAAGTATTTCTTGTATAATACTATGTTTATTAAGCAGTAGCAATGATTAAGAAGAGAGATTAACCTAATTGACTAGATTACAATCTTGATCTGAAATATGTGAAGCTTATAACTTCAGAGGAACTTCGAAAAAATAGTATTTGTTACATAAAGTCTTTAGTGAAAGTTAAGTGATTCTGTTGTGTAAAGTATATAAGATAAAAAGGAGAAAATCTGATACCACTTTAAACCCGTAAATCAAATATTATTGTATTATCCGTTTAAGCGCTGATTTCTGAATTAATTAAATGTTGAATAGTAAATGCTGAGCCTGTCATGACCCGTGGCAATAAAATGTGTTACGAGGAGGCTTTGACTAATATTTCAAGCTTAAATTTTTTAATTAATGACAAATTGGACATATAATACCTAAAGAGATAATTTAAAGCTTACAATTAGAAAGTTAAAATTAATAAAGTTTAAGATTATATTTAAATTGTTACTTAATATCAGCGGTCAATTTGTTAACAAGGGGAATGCACTTCTTTTACACAACAACACACATCAAAGCATTACATTGTTTTTCTAATTCGATAGAAAAATAAATAATCTCAGGTAGGATGTGTTTCCACATTTTTCTTATAATTCTTATAATTGTAATTATTATTGGTTTTTGCCCATAAAAAATTCTTTTCCAAATGGGTAATACATCAAAATCAATAAATACAATTAAAATAACAGTTCATTCATTTTTTGCAAACGAAATTCACGATCTTAATATTAATAGAATGTATAAGGAACAGAGTTATACAAATTAATGATTATTTTATGTTATATTATAAATTTGTTCAAGTTTTTTCTGGTACCTAATATTTTATCTGAACTTTATATTTTTGTAATCATCACTGGACTGCGGATGGTTATGCAAATGTAATTTATATAGTAGAAAGATAAAGATGTAGGACTTGGGTAGAACTTTATTACATATGTCGTTCGTATACATATATGTAGGTACTGAAAATGTATTTTTATTTTGCATATTTTGCATAATTCGTGCGTTTTGCATATTTTGTGCATACGTAACTACATATTCATCTCAGAAAATCGTGATGACATTATAGATAACAAAGATATCTCTAATTAAGTCAGCAGAGTTAACTACTAAAACTTATCAAGCATTTAAAAATCGTACTTGATAATTGTAGAAAAAAGTTTGAACGTAGTTTAAAGTAATTTTAAAGATAAATTGAAGCTTCAATGAGATATTAAGATAACCTTTCGTTTTTCGAATTTATACGTTTATAAACATTACATACTAAACAAATTTAAATGAAAGTAAAATAAATATTTGTATTACTTTTCTTATTTACTGAAATAATGAATAGGATAGAAACGATAGTATTCACAAAATACACAATTGCTATTTTTTTGAAATAAATTTCAACTATACTTACTCTAATATGAAAAACAAGAATTGCAAATCGTTATAGACAAGCTGTTTGATTACGAAGGAATTGTGCAACATTAATACACCTATTATACTTCCCTGTGGCAAAAAAAACCGAAATAAAACAAAAAATATACCTATATGTAGAAGTGTATGATTTAAAATTTACACGATGTTATAGAGAAATAACAAAGTTCTAAGATCAATTTCGTTTTGTATATTGAACAAGTAGATGCGGGAAAAAAGCTGTATTTGTTTTACTTCCTCTAATATAATTTTGTGCGAAAATGGGAGACTCGAGTGGTTCAATGTCGTCGATAAACAAGATAAGGAAATCAAAACTCGCTTGCAGCTGTTCTAGTTGTATTACAGCAAGCAATGTTGCGATAACAATGAAAATGCAATTTAATGCTCGTTACAGGCCACTTCCCGTCTACACCTGCTAGTTTTTTCCATTATCGTGTTATTTGCAAAAGCCGAGAGTAAGATACTTCGTTTAATGGAAAGGTTGTCCCTCGGGAATACACGATGCAAGTGGCTTTCTTCTGGAGAAAAAGTCGAGTGAATAATAACAGCTGCAGCGATGCGTTTCTCAGAGCATTTAAACGAGAGATGAGGTTTTTTAGGTTAATTAAAAGCCGTTCGTCAAAAAATATTTACACTACAAATCTACAGGACATTTTATAATATGCGGACATAATTTAAAACACAAATTTGATACATGAAGATCATAAAAAAGTAGGTATAAATATTCATACAGCATGGCCAAATAACTTTAATTACCATTTTATATGTATTTGTTGTTGAAATATACAAAAAACATGAATTTACAGAATGAGACTGAAATATTTTTCAGTATTCATTCAAAATAAAAAATTGTAAGCATGAAAAGTAATTTATACAAAGAACAAGTTATTAGAACATCAACGGTCTAATTAATAATACATCTTTCTTTCACATATTCAACAATTGTTCTCGAATCAAATTAAAAATCTTTTAACCACTGCAGTTAAAGCCATTTTAAATAAGTTACCTAATTGCTATCCTTCATCTATCAGAGCTAAAGTAAGATTTCTGGGGCCCGAGGTTATCGAACCTTTGAGGACCACTTTGATTGATGAACTTGATTCAGAAATTGAAATTTATTCTATATAAAATTAAATAACATTGAATTGTAAAAAAGGCAACAATACAAAAATCTAATTTAATATTTTTTGATATAGTAAATCAGGCTTATCTAACTACTAGAAGCGAAAGAGCCACTGCTCCCTCTCTTACCGCTTCAGACTTCCCCCACCATCCAGTAGTGTCAGTAGTGGGGCAGCTGTATCTGCTAGGACTAGGAATATGCGTCAAATATTGGAAAAATCGAGAAACCAACTGGAAGAGTGGGGGGAGCCGAGCGTGAGCTCCGTGGTAGGGGAAAGAGTCATAAGTGGCCCGCGGGCCGCAGGTTGGACAGGCCTGTAGTAAATGGAAGGGGCTCCCTGAAAAGTGGGGTCCAAAGTTATAGCCCCGTTAGATCTTAAAAATAATATAAAGTACTACAAAATTTAATTAAAATTGGGACTTTCTCCATGGTTCGTCGTTCGTGGGTTAAAATATCATTTTGTTTGAACTTTGTAACATCTAATATTTTAAATAGTATTTGAAATAGGTTTTTCTTTGAATTTTACCCAGCTCTGGCCATAATTATCGTTATTTAATTATACGATTGGTTAATAGTAGAATAGGTTTCTTTTCTACGGATATCATAAGTAGCTTTTTGTACTATATCCTTTGAAATCTCGCTCAGTACAAACAAATCAACACAAAACATAACGGAAAAAAGTATGATATCACGGATCACGAAACGCGATTCGAAAAGTGTAATTTTCTCCGATAGCGAGGAAGCTTGCAACAAGATTACGGAATCTAACACCGGTATGTTCTTCATTATTTCATTATATCGCGTAAGCGTCATAGGCTTAATAAAAAGTGAAAGCTTAAAATAGCTTGACAAGATTCCTCCATGCGGAGGAGGGTGGCCATTCCTCTGGTTCTTCCACGCCGCGCCGCATTGCTTCTCGCTTTTAGCTCTTTCTATCTCTGTTTCCCTTTTCGAGTCTATTCTCACCTTTGCTCAACAATCCTGTTCATCCACCTTCCTCTAAAATATGCACCCTCTTAACGTAAAATGCGATATTCGAAGGGTGAAATTCCTCATTCAAGGCCCGGGAATCGAGAATTCTACAGCATAACGATGTTCGAGG